AGTGGAATTTATGGGTCAAAGGGCATTGGCAGTTAAACGTTCCTGATACATATTGCAAAACTGCTTTTTCAAAAAGGCTGTAGCTTTTTTCTAAGCCTGCCAAAAGGTAAGGAGGTGCCTATGGAAATGCAAAAACCTAGACTGGAGGGCGTCACAGTTAGAGGTGATTATATGAGGGGCTCCTCACTTGTCTTGCCCCAAGCAGAGCACCAGAATTTATATTTCTAGCCAGGTGGGTTCTTGGCAATGTAGGCATCATTTTAGAAGAATTCCTAAAGGAGATATTTTATAACAGTACCTGGGATCCATGGACAAATTTCATGGAGTCTTTGACTCCTTTGATTTCCTGTGAAATCTTTGTTTTTGGTTCTGGCTTTGTGTTTGTATATTTGCCTGTTTCCTAGGAAAATGCTCAGAGTTTCATCAGATTCTTGAGGATATCTGTGGTTAAACCACTATTTTTGCTGCCTGTGATTCAACATTCTCCTAGTAAAAGAGTACTCATAATTTTCTTTGGGAAATAATGACTCCCTACATTCAGCCCCTTGGTTTGAATGTATCCTCTCTCTTGTTGGAGGGACCCTGATTAACGTAAGGCTGTTAGTGTTTCCGATTTTCCCAGACCCAGTGATTGGCTCAGACAAGCCACATGACCCCATTCAGGACAATGTGATTCGTGCACAGTGTTCCTGCTCAACGATTGAGAGAAAGAACCTTTTCTTCCTGGATGGAAGCTCCCATCTCATGTGCTCATCTGACCCTCCTTGACATTTAGAAAAGAAACCTACACACCTTAAGGAAAGGCTTTTAGATGAGTGGCAGACTCTGGGCCCTTGACAACATCACCCTTGTCCCCTGGGTCAGTCAACCCCGGGGCCCTTCAGCTCACTGAGCAAATGAATTTATGTTTCACTTAGTGGTTTGGGTTCTGTCACTCACCACCAAGAACCCTAACTAATCTAAGATATATGAAAATAATAAAATCAAGACACACTGAATTTCAACTTCCTCACTTTACATCTAGGGACATGCAGGCCCAGAGAGTGTCCCTGCATTGGCCAAAGTCAACCTAGAAACAGACCAGGATGCACAGTCTCCTTCTTTCCAGTATAATAATCTTATAAAATGCCTAATTCTCCTTGCATTTTAAGAAAAGATCAATGGTTGTAAAGAAAGTATTTTCTGATTATTTCTGCATTATCTACAGTGCAGAGAGGTCACTTTTAAAGACTCTGTGCATCCAGAAAATGTACTATATATAGTACAATTATTGGAAATTTTTCAGTGTCCTTTCTATAATATGGAATTTTTCTTAAAAAAAAATTAGAAAATTCTTCCAGTGGCTCAGAACCCAAGAACGTCTATCTTTATAAGCTCATTTGAGGAGCAGAAAGATTTTTAAAAGGAAAACTCAATAATTTCCTTGTATCTTTGGCCAAAACCAGACATTTTTAGGCTGTTGGCTTGGTTATAAATGGAGCTGGTCTCTGGGAACCCCAGGTCTGTCTCGAGGACACAGTTCAATGGGGCTTTTCTGGAACAGTTTCTAGCATGTGATTCAAGTCTTAGAAGCTTTCCAGTTTTTTATGTCATGACGTAGTGCTGATTGTGAGAACTTTTTCAGTATAATCTGCAAAACTGGTTACATAACTCAGAATGACCTACTGCACGATGCCGCAGGGACAGAGCACTTGACTGCACTTGTCAACAAGAGGTCGTCTATGTTCTCATAAACAGACAGAATTTTTGAGTTGGAAGGGCTGAGAAAACACTTTTGAAGCCTCCTTATTGTTCAGAGGTAGAAACGGGTTATAGAATAAGAAGGTGAGTTCCTCAAGAGCATATAGTGAGTTTGTGGTAGATCTAGGGTGATTTTGCCTTTGTGTCCAACAGTCTTTCCAGGGAACAGGCCACTATTTTGTATTTCCTCCTTTGTTAATTTGGTAGAGAGAATCTCCACTGGCTTCTGAACATACAGTTACACAGTTTACTGTCACTCTGTCACTCACTGTCTACTGAGTTATGGTTTAAGAGTATTATCACCTCTTATGACAACACTCTGAAATAAGGTTGAAGCATTAAAAATTATAATTGTTGTTCCACTCTTTACTCTGAAGCCTGTGGTAAGCCCCATTTGGAATGGAATAACCCCAGCAGCTTACCAAGATTCATTACCCAACCCTTTGGGGCTGACTTTTGCTAGCCTATACAACTAGTCTGTTGTGATTCACCAGACTGGAATATAGTAAGGCCTCCCAGCCAGTCTTACCCATACTAAAGAGGTTCTTAAGGGATATTCTCTGCTGCTGTTTCTGGCTAAAATTTTCCATTCTCTCTTGCATTGCCTTAAATTCCAGGATTGCAAATAATCATGCATATCCCAAACACTGTAGCTCTGTATCCTTCATGTGCCTAGTTATGACTGAGATTGGTTAGAAACACATGCACAGAATGAGAGATGCCATAGGTGATAATCTGAGGTGTACATTTTAGTTATTTTAACATTGAAGTAGCTTTACCTAGTGACGCTCTTCCAGGAAACTAATTCCTAAATCACTGGGGCTGCAGTAGCACTGAGTTCCAGGACAACTGATAAATTGGTGTCTACACATCTTCTTTTCTCTGAGCCTCCTTCACTCCGATGTGACCAGGTGGCTGCAATGATGATGGCTTTAAAAACTTTCAACAGTTTCTTCTAGATACTCTTTCCAGAAGAATTGATAACAGATAAAAACACAGGATGTGAGAAAGAGACACATAATAGAATGATTTAAAGAAAAACAAACAAAAAGGAACCTTTGCTAGGCTGTAAAAGATTTCAGTCCATTTTTAGGTTTGTATGACTGGCCGTTTTCAACAGGTAAGCATATTGGCCTCTCTGAGTTTCCATTTCTTCGTCTACAATGAAGATTCCTGGTAGGCTTTTGTTAAAGTTAAAATAATTGATTTTTTGAACTAGAAAGAACATTAAACTCCACTACCCCAAACCACAACACATCTCAAAAGTGCCAGTTCCATCAATCCAATTCCAGAGTAGCTGGACAAAATGAGAGGTTGGGGGAGTGGGAGTTGTCACAATAGGTAAAGACCAGCTCACTCCTGAGGGGCTCAGATTGGGACCAGGATCAAATCTTTGCTGAAGAAGATTAAGAGAATGGTGAAGGTCTCAATCAAGGGAGACGGGTTTCCTAGTCTAGTCACTGCTCCCTCAACTTTGAGGATATGGCTCCAGACCTCCAGCTTCTTCAGAAAAAAGTCAGTCTGTTCCCAGACCTCAACTGTTGACTTGTTTCTCTTATCTCTTTAGATATAAACATATTTAGTGAATTCAATGAGGCTTGCTCTGGCAGAAGAAGTCTTTCCCCTGCAGTTGTGGAAGACAGAGAGGATACAGATCTTAAGTTCAACTGGGAAGCCAGAAACAAATAAGCCAAAGACCCAGCTTTTATATGGACTGTCACACCCATAGCAGCCAAACTAAAGTGTAGATCTCAAAGGCCCAGAGCTAGGATGTCTAAGGTAGTGCGAGGGGATATATCTGTTCCATACCAGAGGGGAGCAACTTTCAGAATATTCCTGGGGGCTGGTGATATGGTTTCTCCCATAGTCACAGTGTAGCAGGTGTGGATGGGTCACTGAGGTTCAAGACACTGGTAGAACTGCCTGGGACAGTCAAGAATTGGAACCTGGATAACTCCACAAGAGATGTGAATGAACTGAACCATAGAAAAAAATCTGCAGTTGACTTGAGGGGAACAACTGGAGAAGACAGGGTAAGGAGGCATATGCATTGACATGGCATTGGTGAGCTACGGCTAGTGGGGGACAGTTTGTTCTATTCCCTAAAACCTATCATCTGCCTAAATCCAAGCTTCATTAATGGTCACTTGGCCAACGTGTGGTTCCCCTTCCTTCCAGAGGAAACTCCTTATCTCCCGCCCTTCTTCTCTGCACATCGGTACCTTTCCTTCTCAGTCAGCACTTCATCTCTTAACGGTTTGATTGCCCTGTGATTAAGGAGGTCTGTTGGGGTCTAACATACTGAGAAAGGGGTGGGGAGAAGGCCATAAATGTTTAATGAGAAATTTTCCTTCTGAGCCTTCCTCTTAGAGGAGAAATAGAAATCAAAAGTCTTCATTGGAACCCCTATTGTTGGAGGACAAAGAAATGTTCTTGCACTGCTGTGAAAATGAGCTGCTGGCACCTCAGCAAGAGGCAGCTCTGAGAGGGGGAGTCTTAATGAATCACAGAGCAAAAAGCCCTTTCCTGGAAGGAATTATCCCTGGTTCTTTCTCTAATAACACACTCAGGCCTCCGCTTGATGGATGTGGAGTTATGACTTTGGGGTAGAGGCTCGCAGATTATAAAGTTGAGATTTACGCGCCATTCTCTACCAGCGCTCCCAGCCCCCTTCTGAAGGCAGAGCCATCGAGCTGGATCTTGCGGCTCCTGGGCCACAGAGAGGAACTGTTTGGGGTCTCAAACAGTAACAGACTTAAGGACAAAACTTTCTCAGAGGAAGCCTCAAAAATTGTGGGAGCTGGATTTGTGACTTTGGACACACCAATGCACCTCTCTGCTTTTGAGAGATTAATGAGATACTATTTTTAAAAAGCACTTATAATGACTGACATAATAAATGCTCTGTAAGTATTGGCTAATGTTTTTATTATTGTCATTGTTTGTGGTCATGGTGGGTATTTTAGAGGAAGTTGAGGCTTGGAACTTAGATGTTGGCCAACCGCTGCCATGTGAAGAGGTAGGAATGTGGCTCATTCAGAAAAGATTCTAGCAGTAAGACTCTTAGTAGTAAGAAGTTGATGTACTGAATGCTTACACTGCTCAAAGGATCTGTTATTTATTATATCACTTAATCCTCACAGTAACCAATGATGAAGACATCACTACCACCACCATTGCCACCACCACCATCACTGTTACCATCGTCACCACCATCAATAACACCACCACCAACACCATCATTGTCACCACCATTGCTGTCACTGCCACCACCATCATTGCCACCACCAACATCACTGTCACCACCCACCACTACCATCACCACCATCACTGTCATCACCACCAGTACCATCACCACCACCATCACTGTCTTCACCACCACTACCATCAACACCATCGTTGTCACCACCATTCTCACCACTACCACCACCATAGCCACCACCACCATCACTATTACCATCACTTACCATCATCACCATCACCACCACCATCATTGTCACCACCACCATGACCTTGGCCACCGCCATCATCACTGTTACCATCACTGTCACCATCACCACCACCATCACTGTTACCACCATCACTACCATCACCACCATCATTGTCACTACCACCACCATCATTGTTACCATCACTGTCACCCCCATTACCACCACCATCATTGTCACCACCACCACCACCATTACTGTCACCACCATCACTATCACAGAGGTAGAAAGGTAGAAATCAAACCCAAGTCTGACTGACTTCAAAGTGTGTGTTTGTTCTCCCTCCCATAGCCATCTCTGTGGCCCACTTCAAGCCTCCCACTGAAAACGGTGTTGGGATATCAAGAAGTTATTACCTCTTATGCTGGCCTTTCTTCTACCATGCCCCTTCCAGATCCATTCAGTTGCCACCACTGATGATATGGACTTGGTACCCCAATTCTGCTCTTTCCCTGAGATAAACCTGACCAGATCCATTGTTACTGTCACACCAGCAGGTGTCTTACTGCCTTGGGCCCAGGCTCCCCGAGGCCTTTGGAAAACTCTGGGAATCAAATCCTCTCTTGTCCTTCCCCTTGCTCCTCAGAGTTGGCACCATCTCTGGCCTTCTGCTTCAGTTCCCCTCCTTAGCAGTTCTGCTCCTATTTAGATCTGTCTCAAATCCTAGCCTCTTAGCTGCAACCCTAGGTATCTTGGCCTTATATATCAAAGCCAAATTTCTGCCTGGGATCCTTTCCAATTGCCTGAAATATGGCACTACAACCCATCTTGCTCCTTGACCCCTACATGCATGCCCTGACTTGCACCAAAGCCCCCTGGATGGTGGAATGACCTGAGAGAACCTGCAGTATATGTACTATGGGCAACCATGAATAGGAGCCTAACATTGCTCCTCACTTTACAGCTTTAGACTCCAAAGCCAATTCAGCTCCAAATAAAACAATGGGCCACCTCACTCACTTCCTTTCTGCTTTATTCAGACTTGGATGAAGAAGAAGAGGTAGGATGTACTGAGTCACAGAGAATTCATTGCTGAGGCCCAATTTTCCTCTATCTAGTCCTTGTCCAGCTTCCTTAGTTCTGTTTCAAGATGTCTCTCTATGCTACAGGTCCAGGTCTGATTTTCCAAGGTTTCATCACCCAGAGAGGCCCCTGCTCTTAGTATGTCCTGTCATGTAGGTGGGAATAACCTACTGCTCTGAGTAGTTGCATCCGTACTTAGTCCCTAGGACAATCTTTCTATGCTACATCTTTGCTGGTTCCCACCACTTCACTCCTTAAATTTTCTTTACCCTCCCATGTTCATAAGTGAATCTGATATAGGAAGATGAAGTGTACTGATTTGTGCTGAATGTTTTCAGAAGTCTAGTCTCTCCCTCCTCCCTGGAGACATACCTGTGCACACATTGTTCATAGAGTAGCATGGGATGGACTGTGAACTACTTGAGGACAAGAACATTGATGAATGCATCACTGCATCTCCAGCACCAAGGAGAGTGCCCTTGATACACTGGGGGCCTGGTTCCCCATTTTTCCTGGTGTTCACCAACCTTGTCAGGAAAGGGACTGCAAAGATCCATAAGCTGATCTATTCTTAAGAGGGCCTGAGATGATTAAAAAGTCCTACCTATTTGGTTGTTATCTGATTGTTCACAGGTACTCTTCTTAAGAATTCTAACAAGGAATTCTTCCCTGACACTGTCCCTTTCCCCACAAGAACAACACGCTCATTACAAATAGATTAATTAATGAACAAATGAATGAACCACAGTGAATGTATGCATACAGAGTCTCTGCTAAAATGACTCACTCAGCTTCAAGGGGACCACTGAGTATCATACTTTGGGAGGGATCACAGATTGAGGATTTTATAAGTGAACAGATGGGAGATTTTGGGGAACAGATGCAAGGCCAGGAAGGTCGGAATTAAGAATCAAGACCTCTTGGCTGCCGGTGGTATTCAAGGCAGCTGCAATCATACTCTGCCAGAAATTCTGCAAGGCAACAGGGCACATATCTGAATCTCCCTCCCCTTTCCCCCAACACTTATTTCCACTTAATTCTCTGAAGAGACAGCTGGACCAAGTCCAGGTGAACCAGGAGCCTATACTGGGCTCACCTTTCTTTCCACTATAACAGCTGGCTGATTGCTCTGGGTGAAGGGGTTTATGGTGACCCTGTTAATTGATGCACAAAACAACCCATCAAAAGGTAAACTGATCACACCAATCCCTGAGGCAACAGGAAACCTTAGTCTTTGCAGCCTGCCTTCTGTTGCTCTTTCTATAGCTAAGGTAATAATGCTTCTCCAGTAAACACCAGCAGGGAAACAGTTAAGCATTGTGTGGTGTATTTCACTCCAGTAGGGCACTTCAGTGTGTGACTGAACATTCCATCATCATTTGCCATTTTCAAATTGCCCATAAGAAACCCCAACATCTAGATGTGGTATTAGAACAAAGAGGGCTGGTTGCTTTCCATTGTAGGCAGTGAGCAGGAAAATTTGAGCAAAGGCAATAGGATAAATGGGATGATTGGAGAGATGATAGAGAGAGATTCTTCATAGACTGCTTTTGTTGATGATTTTTCTTCTTAATGTAGAAAGGCCATATTTTGTGGGAGGAAGAGCAAAGAGTCAAGAAATGTGGTTTTGGATCCCAATTTACTTTGATGAAAACAGCATTCACCCCCAGAACCTTTCTGCATGTTTATGGCAATGTATATAACATATAGATATTCAAGAAATAATCTTTTCTCTGAGAAGTTGAAGTCAAATCTTCCTTATAGAAGAGAAGCAAAGTTATTTCCAATAATCTTCAATTTTTTTAATCCATGCTATGTGCATGACTAAGTGCTATGGTTTATATATCCATTAGCTTATTTAATCCTAAAAATAAGGCCCCAAATAAATATAATGATATCCATTTTATAAATGAGGAACCTGAAGTTCAGAAACTGAAATTGCTTACAATTGGTCAGAGGGTTAGTATATTCTGGAGCTGGGCTCCCAGAACCAGGTTAATTTAGTTTAAAGGTGTGCTGAGGCAGAAACGGAGAGTGGTTGAGGGTATTGGATACTTGACCAGGTTGAACCTTGCTGCTACCATGGACCAACAGGTTGATATTAGGGCATTTTATTCACCTTCTCCAAGGCTTAGTTCTCTTATTTGTAAAATCAAGATAATGAAAGTAACTTCTCCACAGAATTCCGTAGTTATGAAATGAAGTAATATATGCCATGCACTAAGTAAAGGGCCGGACGCTGAGTAGACGCTGAATAACTGGTAGTTTCTATTGTTCCCAGTACCCTATCAGGATGCCTGCAGTCTCAATTACTAGAAGAACCATCTTCTCCATAGACCTTGCATTGGAGAGTCTAAATACAGGAGACCAGTTAGGAGACTATGTCAGTTTTCTCTGAAAGACAAGATAGGGCATGAGAAAAAGGGATCATATCCAAGGAAACTAAGGTGGAAAATGGGACAGACTCCTAGTCTTCTGCATTGGACCATGTATGATAACAAGCAGCTCCCAGTTGTCAGCTGGGTCAAACTGCTGGCTGGTTTGCCCTTAACCAGTATGGCTAAACAGCTGGGAGAGGGAGCAACAGTATGTCTGTAGCGACCTCTTATCCAGAAGGGAATACATGTAACAGCCATCATTTTGTAGAAATATTAACCAGTAACCCTATCCCTCACTGAACTTATATTTTATGGTAAGTATAGCACAATAAGAATCTGGCATCTAACTGTGGTAGAAACTGCTTTTAGAATTAGAGACTCAGGAAAAAGCACCCATGGTTCATGGAGTTTATATTATAATTTTCTCTTTGTTTCTGGAACCTACAGACTCAGTGTTCTTATTTACTACGAAGCAAAATTCACCATAACATTCTTAGGTACCAGTTTCCAAGAGCCCCCACTTAATAAAATCAGATTCACTTTTGCCCTACAAATTTAAGTTGGAACAAGGTCGAGGTGTAAACTAGGCTTGATCACAGCAGCCTTCTAATGAAAGCAACAATTGTGCCCCTACCTCCTTTGTGTAATGGGTAACATGAATCAAAGTCCTTTCTTCACTTTGAAACTTAAAAATGATGCTGAAGTCTGAGCAGGCTGAAGGAATGGATGAGGAAGCACAGAACCATTTTTTCAAATCAAGAGTTTCTCAACTCAAATGAAGGTTTTCATAAAAGCTCCTGTCTTGGCCATTGTTGCAGAAAGACACTTGATTTGCACCTTAGGACAAATGTGCTAGACTTTGGAATTCTACACTTTCCCTGAGCAGTAAAAAATTTGCAGAAGTCAGCACACTGAGGACCGCTGAGCTTCAAAGCAGAGTGATTCTGCTGAAGGATGGCAGGCTAATAGGCAAGGAGCATCAATCACGTGCCAAGTACAACATTGATTCAATTCATATTTACTGATCCTCTACGAAATGCCAGGTATTGATACCAGTACAGGGACACGGGTTCTTGCTCTCAGGAAACTTCATTTCTTGGGAGGAAGCATACCAGTGCCTAGAACACACTCTCTTGCCTTCCTTGAGCTCAAAGCTTGAGAGATGTTGAGATTGCTGACACGAGCAAGGAGAGAGAGCCACTATCCTGAACTTGGAGGGCACAGGTTTTGGAATTGAACAGGCCTGGTTTGAACTCTGGACCTCCCACTTATTTGCTAACTGGTCCTGGGAAACTTACCTTAATTCTCTGAGTCTTAGAGCTCCGAGAATGGGCTGTTATGAAATGCACGTGCAATGTTCTAGGGAAGCAGCTAATATACTATATGTGCTACATATTTTGTATTGCCTAAATCAAAGATGTCATTATTACTAAGGACATAGCTTCCAGCAAGTTCTTTAACCTTTCTGAACCTCAGTTTCCTTATCTGTAAAATGGGGATAATAATACCTTCTGTAGGGTTGTGAGAAAGATTAAATTTGATACTTTCTATAAGGCACCTAGGCAGGACCAGTTCAATAAATAACAAATATTATTGTTAAGTATTAAACAAAGCAAGAGTTCTCTAAGCTAAATGTTC